TTGTTCAGGTGTACCAACCTAAGCACCCCCATCCCATGTGTGACAGTTCCACTCTTTCCCTACCAGGGCCCTGCCTTTGACATATCACGTCTGCCTAAGTTGAGAGTTTAATCTTTGCAAGTTTCCACTTGGCTTTCTGTACTGTCAGGTTTAAGTCCTGGGACTGGTCCTCAGTGTTCTCTGCCTTCCCACTGCAGGAGATGAGAACTTCTTTATATGCTCCCAGAAGGTCTTCTGGTGTTCACACTTCACTTTGAATTGCAGATCTACCACTCTAATCATTGATTATCTCTCCAAAGCATCAACTCCATTTAGCATAGCCATCACATCCTATATGTTTACAGTTACTATTTCCCTCATATTTTGACAGCAATGCATGTTCTTTCACTATATACCACAGGCTCTTTGCCAGTACACCATGGGCAAAACTTTTAACAATTGCCCTGTTTTCTCGTGGTAGCTATGTTCTACCCATCAACACTGATTCATTGTGGGCCGGCGACCAGTGGCCAACTTCAAAATGCAACCACGGCGTCTGCTTTCTTGGACCGTTCCTGAAACCAAATCTTTTCAAGTGGGTTCCATGAAAAGTAAACTCTGGGGGTGCCTGGGTGGCTCAGTCGGTTAAGCCTCCGACTTCAGCTGGGGTTGTGATCTCGTGGTTTGTGGATTCGGGCCCCGCGTGAGGCTCTGTGCTGACAGCTCGGAGACTGGGGCCTGCTTCGGATTCTGTGACTCCCTCTCTCTCTGCCCTTCTCTCTCTCTAAAATAGATAAACATTAAATTTTTTTTTTTTTAAAAAGTAAACTCTGAAGCAAAGATCAATGTTCAGGAAGTTTATTAAGGAGTACACTTAGGACCAACACCGGTGGAAGGGAAGAGAGGACAGCAGGATCAAACAGTGAAAAAGATGGGCTGTGATGCTTTTGCATAATGCAGGATTTGACTGGCCTTTGTCCCTGGTTCCTGAGAGGTAACTTCTAAACCCTTGGAATTTCCCAAGTGATAGGACTGTTTTTGCCATTTATGGTGGGTCTTTGGACCACATTTGAGTTTGCTAATAAGATGGTTCAGGGTGAGGGCTGGTCATGCCAGAAAGACAAACCCTGTGATTAAAAGGTTGAGGTTTTGAGGGGCGCCTGGGTGGCTCAGTCAGTTACGTGGCCAACTTGGGCTCAGGTCGTGATCTCACCCGTTTGTGGGTTCGAGCCCTGCATCCAGTTCTTTGCTGCCAGCTTGGAGCTTGGAGCCTGCTTCAGATTTTGTGTCTCCCTCTCTCTCTGCCCTTCCCCTCCCCCCCCCCGGTCTCTTTTAAAAATAAACATTAAAAAGAATTAAAAAAAAAAAGTTTGAGGCTTTGAGCCTCTCGACATCAGCCCAACCTCCTGACCTTTAGGGAGGAGAAAAGGGGCTGGAGATTGAGTTCAATCATGGGGCTAATGATTCAATCATGGCTACAAAATGAAACCCCAGTAAAAACTCTGGATACTGAAACTTGGTGGAGCTTCCTGGTTTGTGAATACATTCACGTGCTGGGAGTGTGATGTGTCCTAATTCCACAGGCAGAGGGTACAGAAGCTCTGGGTTCAGGACCCTCCCAGACCTCATGCTATTTCTTCATCTGACTGGTCCTAATTCGTATCCTTTATAATAAAATTGTATTTATAATGATAGTGCTTTCCTGAGTTCTGTGAGTCATTGTAGCAAACTAGTGAACCTGAGGGGGTTGTGGGGGAACCTGAATTTGCAGCCACTTAGTCAGAAGTGCAGGTGGCCTGGGCCCCCGGAACTTGTGGATGGCATCTGGAGCAAGGCCAGTCTTGTTGAGTACTATACTCCTAACTGTGGGGTCTGAGCTAACTCTCTGGGTGGTTACCGACCGAACCGTATTGCGGTACAGAAGATGCCATTATAACAACAGCCCCAGATGACCTCGCAGGGAGCTCTGACTCTGGAGCTCACAGTTGTCCCAAGTTAGGAAGAAGGACGAGGCGCATATACTTCCACACTGTATTCAAAATGCCATCGGGGACCTTCCCTTAGCCAATGAGCTTCCTGAAAGGAGCTGACAGCTAAAGGATGTCTGCAGGTAGCCTTCTTGGGAACTGAGGGATGCCTTTCACTCTTGGCAGGATTTCCATGGCCAATCATAGTGCCAACTACACTTTGTAACCATTTCTATCCATTAAGTGGTGGAGAGAGGACAGGGTGATTAAAGGCAGTACTGAAGATTCTTGCAAATTAGTAGGCATTTTGCTGCTAAAGAGAATCCAAAGCGGGGGATTTGTGGCAACTGATCCTGGCAATTGCTCAAGGGTGATCATACTGTCTTCACACTTAAAACTTTAGGATGCCCTCCTGTTTCTCTTGGGAAGGATAAAGTCTCCACGTCCTTAGCAAAACCCCTCAGGCTCTGCATGATGTGGTCCCTTCTTGGATCTGCAGGATCATGTCTTCCTCATCTCATTGCAGTCATTTGTTCGGTCTACGGATTGCATCTGACCTTTGAAAGTTTTGGGGCCTTTGCACGGGCGTTTTCTCTGTTTGGAATGCTTTCCTCTTTTTGTCTGACCAATTTGTACCCGTTTTTTAGGTCTTTGTTTACATGTCTTTTTCTCAGGTCTCCCCTAACACTCATTCTGGTCAGAACCACTTGTTATATGTGTGCAGAGCACCTGTCCCCTTTAGATGGCCCTTTTGGCGCTTATCAGAACTTTAACAAATGACAGGTATTTTTGTACGTAGCTGTTTAATGCCTCTCTTCCTTTGATAAGTGTTACGAAGGCAGGAGCTATGACTATTTTGTTCTGTCTAGTCTCCCCAGGACTAGACTCAGTGCCTGACATGGGGGTTTAATAAACACTCATTGAGTGAGTAAGTACATGAAGTAATTAAGATAGACAATAGTGATGCAGTGTAGTGGTTAATAGTGTGGCTCTGTAGTCAGGCTGGGTTCAAATCTTCCAAATCCTAACTTGTCTACCCAGAGCTCTGTAAATGAGTCCTCCCCTCGTACAATGTCGAAAATTCAGTTTATCAGTCCACATTGAGTTTGTCAGATTCGTGGAACTTGTCCTTAATAACCAAACTCTAGGAGAACAATGTGGAATAAGAATACCTACTTAGCAGCAGCACAGCATAGCACTTAAATACAGTCTGGGAATCCCAGAACTGTGATCTTGCCCACAGTGCTTAACCCTGTCTGTGCATGTTTCCTCATCTGTAAAGGAGTCTAGCTCATAGCACCTAGCTGAAAGTTGTTGTAAGGGCCAGATAGGTTAAAATATACAAGAAACAGGGGCGCCTGGGTGGCTCAGTTGGTTAAGCATCTGACTCTTGATTTCCGTTCAGGTCATGATTTCCCAGTGGTGGGATCGAGCCCTGCATCAGGTTCCACGCTATCAGCTCAGAGCCTGCTTGAGAATTTCTCTCTCCCTTTCTCTGCCCCTCCCCAGCTCGCTCTCTCTCAAATAAATAAATGAACTTAAGAAAATATTTATATACGTGAAACAGTGTCTGGTATGCATTAAGTTCTTCATATGCATTTGCTATTTTCATTATCGTTAATTTAGGTTGGAAGACATCTCTGACTGGACATTGGGAGCTGGTTAATTGCATAAGACGTTCCCTCCAGGTGAATAAATTCATGCCATAGACAAATAATAGATCAAAGGTTTGTCTAGTAGATAAAGAGTTGGTGTAAAGGAAATATTTGCTGGCATTTCCAGGAAGCTCTAGGGACCTGGTGGGTGGCTCTTCTCTCTTCTAGGGCCAGTTGTATCTAAAAATCTGAGGTAGAACATCTAGGCACAGGACTCTGCCCCTCCTTCCAAGCAGTGTGAACGTTCTGGCAGATTTTGGCTTTTTGTTCCCCTTATTATAGATTCCAGAAAGGCCACTATCTTTTGGTAGGTATGGCTTTTCTTCATTCAGATTACAACACAATTGATTAGGTTATCCTTTTCTTTCAGTACAACCTAGGACCAAGGCAGAAGCATCACTGTCTTGATTTCAGATCCTCCTTCACCAGGTCTCCTTGCACATTTAAGACAGGCTGATTCTCTTAGGGTGGATAGAATTCCTACTTTTCCATCATTATTTCTCCAAAATTTTAAAGTACTTAATGGTAGCCTTCAAACTGGGAAACATATGCTCTGGGTGCAGAGACCCACAAAAGTCATAAAAGTCATTTCACCCCAACAATTTTCTATGGCTTTCGGATAGCTATTATGACCGTATGACTTACCTTCCCCAGGCTCAGTGTTCACATCTATTAACACCTACCTTGCAGTGTCACTGTAAAAATGAGGACAGAAGTAGGGTTAACACTGTGGAATCACATAATAGGCACACAGGGGGTAAAAAAAGCAAATTACGCCTTTACTGCCAATTTCCTCTATTCTGGGAAAAAACATACATACAAACAAAATATAGATTGAATACAGGCCGCCCGTGCTAGTTAAAAAAAAGGGGGGGGAGGGCAAAATGGATCACGGAGAGTTTTGACATTTTCTCACCTCAGTTTCCCTGACATAATTGAAAGGGGTCTGGTCAGTGGCTGCAAGTTCTTTTAGATTTGGAGTTATAAAATACTGGGTTCCAAATTTGGCTCTGCCCTGTTTTTGCTGTCATGATCTCGATTAGTTTCTTAACCTCTCATGGTGTCAGACTCCCCTAAAGCCAGGATAATGGAGACGGATAAAATTTCCTAAGCAGGACTAGACTGTCTCCTCTCTGAATTTCCCAAATCAGAAAGGCCGGAAGGCCATAGTACATATACCTCTGAGCAGCCGCACCGTTGGCGGACAGAGCTCTCAGAAGGGAGGAAGCCGCCGAGGCGGAAGGAGGGCGGGCCTGGGATTCCCGCCTACGATGCGTGCGCGCGCACCACGCACGCATGCACGCATAGCACGCACAGCACGCTGCGGAAGCGCGCGCGCAGGCCCAGCCCTCGCCGCCGCCGCCATTTTAGCTCCTGGTTCCGGCCGCACGGTGTAGGCTGTTGTAGCGGGAGGGGTGGGGGTCCTCCAGAGTTAAGTAGCTGCCCTCGACTGTACCAATACAGCCGCCAGCTTCTTTTTCTTCTTCCTTCAAATCCGCGCGCTTGCAGAGTCCGAAGATGTCCAAGCGGCACCGGTTGGACCTGGGGGAGGATTACCCCTCCGGCAAGAAACGTGCGGGGACCGATGGGTAAGCCAGGCCGGGGGCGCGAGGCAGCGGCTCGGGCTTTGTTGGGGTCCCCGCGGAGAGCGGGCCAGGGCCGGCCTAGCCACGTCGGCCCTGGAGCCCGACCCTTTGTTTCCCTCTGGGCTTGGCTCACTAGCGGCGGGTCGGGGAAAGCGGCGCCACTCCCGGTGTTCGGCTGGGCAAGGGCGCGGGGAGATGTGTGGTGCGGCCGCCGCCCGGCCCAATCGGGAGGGTGGAGAGGCCTGCGTGGCCACGAGGGCGCCTCCTCCCCGGGCCGAGCCAAGCAAGAGTCACTTCGAGGGGAGCAGCCGGGAGGAACCGCGGACCTCGTGGCCTGGGTTCCCGGGTAAGGCCTGGAGAGGGTGGGGGAGGGCGCGGCGGGAGTATTCCCTTCCAAGGGCACCAGGTATTTCTCAGGCCGAGCGACTGCGGAGAGGAC